TGTGGGACCCCCTGCTCAATGTCGAAGAATTTAGACAGTTCTCCGTCTAGCATGACCGCGCTTTTCGTACACTCTGTCATCTTCTTCAGCACTCTCGACAGTTTCCTCTTGATCCCGAACTTGGACAGTTGTTTCCACAACCCATTATTTCTCCATAATACGGTGTCGTATGCCTTTTTCACGTCCAGGAAGAAGCAGTACGTCGACTTTCCCGCCCTCTTTCTACCTTGGATGATTCTCCCTACCGTGAATACGTGGTCTACGCACCCCCTATTCTTTCGGAAACCTGCCTGGCCCTCACTAATGCTATGTTCCTTCTCCAATACTCCCACTATCCTATCGTTCAGCAGCTTACAGAACAAGCATGAGCCTGTCTCGGTGTGTTTTGCCAGTATATTTGTTGGAAGGAGGAGCAAAGGGGAAGTTGTACTGCTGATGATGTAGTCTCATGCTGCTGAGTGGAAAAAAGTGCTCTACCAGCATGAAGAAGGTGCTCCACAATCGAACGATCAGTCGAACCAAATTGGATATCTGCCATTTGGCTGTATCAATTTCGGCCACGTTTCTGCCACTAGACTAACTAGACTAGACTACTACCTTTCGTAATGTAGGCGCATGCTGTGTTTTCGATCGCTCCCCCGCCCTCCACATCCCGAACATCATTCGCATAGGATTCTTTTTTCGTCTTGCCTCTGGAGCCGCCTGCTTTCCTCTTCGGTGCACACTACACGTTTGCCGCGTGTGTACACTTACACTTTTCAGCGTACTTGGTTCTCTACAACTAACAAGGCGCACCGTTCGGGGTCACACAGTAGGGATTATCCACGCCGGGGTTCTTTCTTCTTTTTTATCTTCTCTTGTCCCCACGTCCCTCCTGCGTTGCCTGCCTGAGACATTTTTTTCGCGAGAAGGGTTCAGCAATCCCTACCCTCGCGACGATATCGACGATGAAGTCGATCAGTTTACTATTATTTGTAACAACGAGCTTTGCAGGGCGTTGCCTCCAAAATAGACCAGGATTATGTAGAGAGAAAAAAAAACACTGTGCCGGGACTCGGACCCATGACCGGGCCACTATTATTAGTAGGCTACGAGGATTCCCACAAGATCACCGGGGCGACCGGTTGTAATGCTGTGGCAACATTTTTGTCTGTTAGAATTGTAAGATGACGCGAAGACGTTTCGTTCCTTTTCCCCACTCGTTATCTACTCGATCATTCTGCATGTTGGGTTGTGAGTCTATGCGGTGTACCACGCGTTCAGGACTGCTGTACATACTATAATTTGTTTGTCTGGTAGGATTCCAATCACGGCGCGGTGGGCTGCAAAAAAAAAAGTGAGTGTTTGCGTGGCACTTCGAAGTACCACATGATTTAGGTTTATTAAACGAACTGTGGGTAGTCTCTGAACTGGGTAGTAGTCTCTACACACGATGGATCTGTTGTCTGTCGCACTCTCGCAACCCTGCCACACGTGCACACGTAAAGCCCTCTTCTACCCTTGCTACTGTGGGGCACACGGACATAAATTCGCGCATATCTCACCTTTTGCACCCGCCGATACCGCTTGTTAGATATACTCGCAGCAGTAGTATCTGGTCGTGAGGATCCCAGGGGGACACGTGTTGGGAATTTCGCGTGTTGAAAGGTGCCACCGGCGCAGTCACGGGGACCCTTTGGGCGTGGTCGGTGCGATGATGAGGAAGGCTTGCGTGCGTGCTGCGCACTTCCTCTTCTTCTTCCCTCTCTCTCCACCACCACCACCGTCTCTCTTCAATCAAGTTTCCTTCTCCCACTCTCTCTCCAACTCTCTCTCAACCTCTCTCTCTCGGCCTAACTAACACGGCCGACTACCCAGTGCCCCAAAGCAACGTCCAGAACGTGCTTGCTGCACCCCGCGTAGTTTACCTTTCACACTGGTGCGACGATACCACGGTATCTGCGCGCGGGCGTAGGCTTCCGGGTGTTGTGCAGTCACGCGCAATCGGTAGACTCCCATAACAACATAAATCATGGAGGGCATCGACCTCTCCGCCCTTAGCGAGCAAGAACTAAAGCAATTAGTGGAGAACGCAATCAACTCTAAAGTGGGTATTCGATTGGAAGGCAGATGAGTTTGGATGGCCCACTAAGGTTAATTAAGTCGAGACTTGTAGCGAGAGGTGATAATATGCAGAGAGAGTGCATTGACTTCTTTGGAGAGTTTTACGCGCCTTCCGTTTCTGTTTCGTGTGTTAGGATGTTGGCTGCTTTTGCGTGCGAGTTGAACCTCGACTTGTGTCATTTCGATATTGAGCAAGCTTTTGTGCGTTTGTTTGGAGTTGGAGGAAGACGTGTACATACATGCGTTTGCCGCAGGGATGTATGTGGAGCTCTATCTGGAATGTAAAACTAGGCAAGAGTCTGTATGGCTTGAGACAGGCATCTAGGCAGTGGCATGCAATGCTGAAGAGGTGTTTGGTAGAGTTAGGTTTTGAGCAGTGCATGCATGGCCGATGCTTGTGTGTTTCGTTTGATTGAAAATGGATGTGTTGTTTTGATTTTGGTCGTACATGAAGATGACATTTTTGCTGTTATGGGAGGGAGGGAGAGATGTTGTGACAAGTTTGGCGCCGACTTTGGTATTTCGTTTCAGAGAGGTACGGTGGAGGGATTAAGCTTGCAGGGGTACGCTGATGCGGACTTTGCAAGCAAGGCAGCAGACCGTAGGTCGTTATCAGGGGGGATCGTGACGTGTGGAGGAGGCGCTGTGTCTTGGTTTTCCAGAACGCAGAAGTGTGTCACGCTTTCGACCACAGAAGCAGAGTACGTCGCCCTAGGTGACGTAGTGAATGAAGGATATTTTGTTTTTGAGGCAGATTTGGCGTTTTATGTTGCCGCAGGTCGGCATGCCGTGCATCCCCATCTTCGAGGACAACTAGGGGGCGATGCAACTAGCGCAGAACCCCATCTCAAACTCGAACTCGAAGCACATAGATGTAAGGCACCATTTTCTCAGGGAGCTGGTAGAGAGGAAGGAAATTTCGGTCATCCACGTGCCGTCGCCGTACCAGCGTGCAGAATTTCTTACGAAGAATTTGTCGAAGGATGCTTTCGAATCTCACCGTGATTTTGTGATGAATTTGGCATGAACATTTTATTATTTTTCTGATGGGTTGTGTTTTGGTCTTGTTCTGTTTCCCGTTTTGTTTCATTTCCCGCGCCAAGTATTTGTTAAGCGCGATGCAGCATTCATATTTCATTGAATTTTTTTTCTCTCTTATATTATTCTGGTCAAGTCTTCATGGTATATATTCTGGGAAAGACGTCTTTTGTTTGGTTGAGATGTCGGGTGTTAGCGAAGTTTTCAGTGAGACACTGTTGCGAGCAGGGGGGATGTTAGATATACTCGCAGCAGTACCTGATCGTGAGGATCCCAGGGGGACACGTGTTGGGAATTTCGTGTGCTGAAGGGTACCACCGGCGCAGTCGCGGGTGTTTGTGTATGTACTCGGCAGGATACAGATCTCCGAGATCTCCGGGGGTTACGCAGATAGATATTGTACATGATGGGTGTGATGGACTTGACGCGTAGGCTCTGCTTGCCTGCCCATGTCTCTCACTCGTTAATAGTTAATCAAGGAACTTGAGTCACTCCTTTGTGCAACACGCTCTCGACAAGAGCCCGCGAGCGTGATAACATAGTACACGCGCCGACACCCCAAAGACGATATCGTGGAGTCAGCTGACGTCGGTAGGGAAAGGTTCGGGAGGTAGGCACCGGAACACAAGGGCAGCAGCAGCGGGCGGTTTTTGCCCGCGCGCGCCAAGGAGATCCAGGGAACAGAGTTTGGAATACAAGGGCAGCCGCGACAGGCGCGCCAAGGAGATCCAGGGAACAGAGTTTGGAATACAAGGGCAGCAGCGGTAAGCGTGCCAAGGAGATCCA